CGACGTGCAGATACGGTCAGCCCAGCTATGTTAAAAACTCGTTCACCTGGCGGGCACACACAACACTTTCCGAACCAAGACTGCCAACCAAGGATGCTTACTTAAGGGTCACGTACACCACCGGAGGTGCAAAGGTCCAACGCAAAAGACTTTCATCCTGGGCCAAGGTCAGATTTCTACCGAATTGCTTTATTTCCTTGTTGAGGCTCCGCAGCCATGAGCCCCTGGGTCTGCCGATGTCCTGCCGGATTCCAATCCAGCGCTTGCTTTCAGATTTCGTTTCCGCCCCGTCGAAGTGTGTGGCCGACCCACTTCCACCTTCTCTCTCGAATTTCTGTTGCTATCGGCTTCAGATGACATCGAGGATGATGGAGCTCGGCATTCGAGATCCAGTTGTGAGGCCACCAGGTACAAATTATATACCGCAGGCATCGGTTGATGAAGACCTGCAGCTTCTGAGTGTTCTCCGCTAATACACACAACGTCTCGCTGGCGTATAACAACACAGATTTCACGTTCGAGATTACAACTTGGATTTTGGTGCGTTGACTTATCTGGTTTGATCTCCATACGTTTCGTAAACTCGCAAAGACAGCCCTAGTCATCTTGATTCGTGCACCTATGTCGCTCTTGGTCCCGCCGTCCGACGCTATTTGGATGCCAAGATTTTGGAAACTGTCGACCTTCTCCACTGTTTGCCCCGATTGCCCGTGCTGACATCCAACGATTTGGTGTTGTTGACGTTGATTATGAGACCCGTCACGGTCAATTGCACCCACCATGATCTCGTCAATTACGATGAGGAACAGTAGCGGTGATAGTATACATCCTTGTCTCACACCAACGACCACCCGGATAGGGTCAGACAAGGCTCCGTTATGTAGAACTATGCACGTCAAAGCCTGATACTGCGCTTTGATGAGGTTGACAATTTTATCCGGGATGATGCGGAGCGAGACAATGGTCCACACAAAATCTTCCGGCACAGAATCCTGCCTGCTGCCGCCTGAGAGTCGCGTCGATCTTCTCCTGTATCCGATTCAGGATAACTTTGCACAGAACTTTGAAAACAATACACAGTAACATGATGCCCCATCAATTGTCGCACAGTCAGATCCCCCTTCTTTAGGACCTTCACTAAGACGCCCTGCATCCAGTCGGACGGAAAATTGCGGTGTCCCAGATATTACAGAATAGTTGATGCAAAATTTGAGCGGATAGCATGGAGTCAGCTTTCAGCATCTCCGCTGCTATTTTGGATTTATGGAAATGAGTAGATGATGCGTGCGCCGCCGCGAGTGCTAGGTCCGTGGAAAAATAGAAGACATAAATGTCAATAGGAGTCTAGCCTTTCCGATTGGGACGATGTACTGTCAGAATTGTCAGAAGAATTGTCAAACAGTCATCTGAAAGCAAAAGTCATGGTCATGTTCAGAAGCTTCCTAAGTACATTTTAAGTGAATTTTTTATCTTATTATCCTAAATTAATAAAGCCTAAAATTAATCATAAAGTTAATTTATACTAAGGTATGTACAGAATTCAACATCCGAAGGACTGCGAGCAACATGCACTTAGAGCTAGAACTAAAATACATTACATTATGTTAACAGGGAAATCTACCAAATACAGTTAGAAGTTAGAGTAACGAAGGTTCTCCCTACCAATTTCGTATTCGGTAAGAAACAAAAATGAATGTGAATTAAGGTTAAAATGTTGCCTAAAACTAACTAGAGATCATTAAGCAGGCTAGCCCAAACTATTCAAGTAAGGTCTGGAAAGACTAAATCGAGACGAACCTAATCTATCATGCTCATCTCAATATATCCACTTATGGCTTAGAAATTAACCCACTAAAATAGGATACATACGAATCGACTAGCACTCAACATAGTTGCCAGGATATTCGTTGGAAATAAGTGAGGAAGTTCGGAAGGAACACTAAATCTACGATTGAAATCAATTATGAGGAGATAAAAACTAAACACTGAAGCAATTTATATTTTAGGAAATTTTAATCGGCCAAATACAGTAGCGTTAAGAAAATTTCCTTTCCATTGTGCTGGTTGCGGGCGGACATGACAGTAGAAATAACTCATCAACAAATACCTAGCTGATTTAGTCAAAATTTAGTTCTGGCTATGTTACTCAATTTAGGGAAGATCTGGTTTTAATTAAATTGAGTGGCTTTTCACTCAATTTTTAGAAGCCACGAACAGGCGTGCACACAAGTTCTAATTTTAATGCGTTCAAGATGGATTTTACTGCCTAGATGTTACGGAATTTTCATCGGCGTGATATAAATTTATTCGGCGGCGTGAACCATTTTACTGCGGCGGCGCACAGGTCTAATTCAGTAAGCTATTTGTTACTTAGGGACTGTTCATAAACTACGTAGACAGTTTTTTTTTGGGATTCTTGACCCCCCCCCTCCCCCTGCGTTGACAATTGTCCATACAAAAATCTAAAAATTTGTATGGACCGAGGATAATTGTCAACCCCTCCCCCCCATATAATGTCTACGTAGTTTATGAACAGCCCCTTATTAGGTCTCCATGTTTCATTTAGTCGGTTGACAAATTCTCGGAACTTCACTCCTTTGGGCCAGGTAGATGCAGTCATTGCTAACGGTTCCCATTTCTTATTCAACACGATCTTGAATGAAATGTAGTCCAGTGTGTTAATATCCTTCCACTTTGGCACCAGCTTCACTAACTCATTGCAGTTTGATAACGGAGCACCGAGAGAACGAGATACGATTTGAGTTATATCGAGTTCGGTGGCACATTTGTCAATATGAGACAAATACAACGAGAAACCTCTGCAATCCTGTATGTGTTTCGGTTCCTGCATCCTCTCGGGTTCACTTGCGTTGTCGAAAATCTCATAAGTACTATCGAGAAGTTTTAGAGACGATACGAGCGTTGAATAATGTGGTATTATCGGTCCTGTTTCTGGGTAACTTAAGTAAGGGTATCGACAATATCAGCGACAGTATTCTTCAGTTCTTTGATTTCAACTTCGATCGATCTAGCCGGAATGGTATTTGTAGTTGTCTCTCTCTATATCTGCATAATTCTGTCAAACATCCATCGCCCATCCAAATTTTATTGCTCGATAGCACACTCAAGTCCGTTACACTCAAACCAACACATTCGGCGTGGAATGATTTGGCGCATTCTCCTCGCACACCGTAAACGGATCAACGTTGATGTCGATGTGAAAAGAGATTTTTTTACAATTCCAAGCTTTTGACATCATGGAGAACCACGGTTGCTTCCACTCACTTGCTATAAAAAATTGTTTTCCGGAATAATGAAATCATTAGATGATATAATGATATATTGTACTTACAAGCAGGGTTACATCCACTTCTTCTTCTTCTTCTTCGCATTTCAAGCTTATTGCATATAGCATATTAGCTTATTGCGTGCTCTCAACTTAGTGTTCTAGATGCACTTCCACAGTTATTAATTGAGAGCTTTCGATGCCTGTACCATTTTTGCATTGGTATAATTGTGTGGCAAGTCCAATCATACTTCTAAAGCCCAGGGAAGTCGAGAAATTTTCCAACCCGAAAAATTCCTAGACCGGACCGGGAATTGAACCCAGCCACCTCCAGCATGGCCTTGCTTTGTAGCTGCGCCTTTACCGACTGAGCTAAGGGAGGCCCACTTACTTGCTATAAAAAAATGTTTTTCAGATTTATGAAATCCTGAGATGGTATAGTGATAATTAGTACTTGCAAGTTACAAGATGAGGACGTGAAGTATGTGTTTGACACATTAAATCTGTCAATATTGCTTTCAGTGCGTCACAATCAGCGATTTTACGACTCGTGAGTGCTCACTCTGAGTGTACGCTCACGAATCATACGATGGCTTATTGTGACGCTCTGAAAGCGAAATTGATGGGTTTTTTTGAGTTAAACACATACTTTACACCCTCTTCTCGTTACCTACAAATACAACATATCATTATATCATCTAATGATTGCATAATTCCGAAAAATATAATTTTATAGCAAGTGAGTGGAAGCAACCCTGCTTACAAGTAACAAGAAGAGGGTAAAAAGTGTGTGTTTGACTCATAAAACCTGTCAATTTCGCTTTCAGAGCGTCACAATCAGCGATCTTATGATTCGTGAGCGTTCACTCAGAGTGAGCGCTCACGAATGGTAAAATCGCTGATTGTGACGCACTGAAAGCAATTTTGACATGTTTGATGTGTCAAATACATGCTTCACGACCTCTTCTTTAAACCTTCAAGCACTAATAACCATTATAACATCTAATGATTTCATAATTCCGAAAAACAATTTTTTATAGCAAGTGAGTGGAAGCAACCCTGTGGAGAACAACAAAAAAATATTCCACTAGGTTGTCGTGACCGGACCGAGGTTTCCAGACTCGGTCACGGCAACACGAATCTCGGCTGATCTGCTTCCAGTACTGCTGTTTCAAATATTTCTTGTATACGCCAACTAATTGAGTACTGATCTCTTGAAAGCTCATCAATTATATTGAAACAATGCAACGGTTGTACAAAAAGTTGATTTATTGAGATAAAAGTAAGATTTTCATCTTGTCTCTAGTGATATTCACATGGATTGTAAAACCGTACCGCGTGATATTATTCCTGCCAAGAATATCAGTGTCGGAAGTGAAATTCAGTGCTAGACCAATATCTTACGTCAATTGGCATTGTTGACAGCACGCAGCACTGCCTTAAACTTAAAATCTCAACAACACCATCATAACACTTGAACCACCAATCTCATTTGCACTAACTTCTGCCATAATTAATCGTGCATTCACCCGCCATCCATCCGCCAATGCAAACCAGTAAACTCTCCCGTCTATTTACAGTTGAATATTTCCATGAATAATTGGTTCGTCTGGCGATAAGATGCACAGTGTACAGGAATTCCCAAAAATTTGAGATGTCTAAAACTGTTCACTGCTGTTATCTTATCAACCCTTTCAAGCACTGCTCAGACAATCAGCACCAACAAGTACCGCATTCAATTAGCGAACTTCAGTGACGACGATAGCGATCCGGAGCACCATGGACATACTCAACATTCTCAAGTATGGGTTGGAAATTGTTGACGATTCACTCACAACCAAAGAGCTGATCGATCAACTGGTATCCATTGGACCCCTGCAAGAGCCACTCCATCTGACGGAGCTAGACAACGTTGTCAAACGCCACTACCAATGGTTGCGACATTTACCGCGTGTTCATCCCTACTACACCGTACGGAGCAACAACGATGCACGGATTTTGGGAACCACTGTTCTGCTGGACTGCGGGTATATTTGTTCTTCGAAAGCGGAGGTAATGCAGATTATGGAGCTTGGTGTAGAACCGGAGTGGATTCTGTTAAAAGATGCAGCCAAAACTACAGAGCTATTGAAGTTTGCTCGAAGAAAGCGCTTGACAGTAGTTTTTGAGCACGAACAGGAACTTAGGCAGATACACCAACATTATCCGGAAGCAGAGTAAGAAATCGGTTTCTTTGAATCTACAAAAGTGTAACATAAGATCATCTTTTCAAGGATTTTGGTTCGGTTCGGTTTCAATACAGATTCATCGCTGGAGCATGATTCCCACATCAAAACACACGAGCTGCTGAATATTGCAAGGGATCTGGAGCTGGATGTCATTGGTTGGTGTTTTAATGGTGGAGCATCTTTCCGCCATAACGACGGCGTGGTCTACGAAGCCATCCGTAAAGGTCGTGAAATCAGCGATTTTGCCTTGATTCTTGGCTTCAACTTTAGGTTCATCAATCTGGAAGCATCATTTACTGGTGAGCAGGATAACGAGCTACAAGAGTATTCCACCCGAATCAATCGAGCATTGGCCGAATTCTTCCCCGATCGATGGAATCTTACCGTTACGGCTGAATCAGGGCCATTCCTTAGTGCAGCAGCAGTAACGGCGGTTAGCGCAATACACGGAAAGCGTGTTTTCTGGCACCGACAGTTTCCATCGCAGATCGATAGGGTGTTTTACTACCTGAACCATGACATCGGTGGCGATCAAGGTCAAAAACAGATTAAACCGATCATTTGGAAAAGTTTGACAGATTGCGGGGCAGTTTGTCAGTCTAGTCTGTTTGCGTCCAGTAACGAGTGTATGCTGGAGAACCTACCGCTGCCGGAGGTGAATGAGATGGATTTTTTTGTATTCGAAAATCAAGGTGCTAGTTTGAGCGATCTAACCGAACTACAATGCACTCCTATCGTGTTGGTATTTGTTCGGAAAAGCATGTGGTAAGGCCATTTGAGTTAAGCTGTCTTTGCAGGCGTGTGAGGGTGTAATTTTTCTTCTTTTATTCCAGGGACTTTTTGGAAACACTATCAGTTTCAAATCATCCCAAGACGTGCATACTAAGCTCTCAGTATTTGCAACGGGTAGCAAAAATTGAACGATTGAGATTTGAGTGAATTATGATTATATAGATAATAGGTACAATTTTTACATTTCAATCAAATCGATACGAGATTTACACGGAATACTAATACGAAAAATGGATACCACTAAGGAGAAAACAAATTGGGAGTATGAGATAAGAGATTCACAAATATAATCAATAAACAAATAACATTGCTCTAAAGATAAATATTACGGAAGCAAAGCAAAGAGTACGGTGGAGCAAAAGTTCGACCTTGGAGTACTTTGTGTTTTGTTTATACATTAAAGAGACTGATAACTTCAAGCATTTGGCATCAAACTAATACCGTACACACGATCCATAGCTCCTACACTTTCTCTCACAAAGCCATGACATAATTACAGCGTTGTATCATGCAAAGATCCTGAGATGTAGACCCAGAATTTAAGATTACTAGTACCACCTAGTGAGAGAATTCCGAACTAAACTGTCCACAATTAAAAAGCCCTTTTCCTCCTGAACAACTTTGCAGGAAACAGCAACTTTGAATCTAGCAAGGATCCCATGATATCTCCTCAGCATTTACACGACATTTATATGGTCACTATTATCACCTAGCGATATTGCAGAAAACAGCAACTTTGTATCTAGAATGCCATTATTTTTAGTAGCAATAAAGGAGAAATGGCTCTAATGTTGGCCTGTGGATCTAAGATTGGGCCCATCGCTAAAAATCTGCTATTTATCAATTGTGCACACTAAGATCTTGGTTCCGTGTTCGGTAAATTTTACCGAAATCAGAACAGCTGAATGTTCGGTAAAACTTTGTCCTTCATTTTAAAGGCTATTGAATTTAAAAATAATTTTAAAACATGTTCAACCTTGTTTAAATGATCAAATCTTGTCATTTTAGTGGAGATTTAGTTTCAAAGTAGCTGAAAAGCAATTGAATTGAATTGCATAAATTTTACCGAACAGTTCAGCTGTTCAGATTTCGGTAAAAATTACCGAAGTCGGTGATAATTTCTAAGTGTGAGTCTAGATGAACGCGTCATTGGGATGGTACTAATGGATATTTTTGGTCGCTAATGAAAATTTAGTCGATTGCTGAATTTATGTATGGGCCCAAATTAGGGGCAGTTAGGCCGAAATTACATCCGGGGGGATGGACAAAACATGAGTTTCTGAATTAATTATTTAAATAATTGCGCAAGTGTACGCAAAATACCATCAATTATTCAAAATGAACATCAAGTACACTTTAACTCCTCGAAATATCTCAGAAGTATACTGTGGTATATTTAAGATATATGGATTTGACTCAAACAATATATTTTATTTAAACAAATGCAGTTTATATTTTTCAATAATCGATCTGTATTGAGGTCCTCAACAACTGTGACAAATGTGATAATCAAGCTTACGGATGTTAAGATCAAGGTTGCAAAGACTCATTTCAGCTAAAATAATGTTTTTCGGAATAATAAAACCAAAAGATGGTATGATGGCATGTTTTACTTGTAACTTACAAGAAGAGGTTACAAAGTATGCGTTGGAAACATAAAACTTGTAAATTTTGCTTTCTATGAGTCACAATCAGCGATTTGCTGATCGCTGAGTGAGTGAGTGAGTGAGTGAGTGAGTTTGTGAAAAATCGCTAATTGTAACTCTCATGAAGTGAAATAAACAGGTTTAATATGTCAAACACATTCTTTGCAACCTCTTCTTGTATCCTACCAATTCAAAATTTGATCATGGCATCTAATTATTTCATAATTTAGAAAAACATTGTTTTAGCTGAAATGAGTCTTTGCAACCTTGGTTAAGATGAACTATCTGGTGGCCACTCGGATACAGTTACATAAAAAAGTCATGGCCTACATTGATCAAACTTACGCAGCAATCAATGTTATAATTGTTCCGAATCTTCAGGCGGGCCATCTAGTGACCATTCGGAGCCAATGATTAGCTAATATATGAAAAAAACACAAATTTAGTACATTATATAAAGTATTAGATCATATCTAAGCATACTTTGATCAAATTATCATAGCAAGTAAATTTGCGGATGTTCCGGATCTTCCTGCGGGCCATCTGATGACCAATTAGATCTATCACCATTTTATGACTATCACCATTGTACTACATTTCATATAATTGCAGACACAAATCATTGTCATCCCAATTGTCCAATTTACGAAACAATCAGTTATACGGATGTTCTGGATCTTTCAGCGGACCATCTGGTCACGATTCTGATTCAGTGTAGCTGTATTCTGAGCTGGATCTGGATGAAATCGTTGGTGTTTCAACACGGAAATACGTCACGTCATCGAGGCAAACGTGCCTCTTCAACGTCCTCCATTGAAGCCGCCTTGGTCAAACTCCAGCCTTCGCCAATTGAAGCGCCGTAGACGATCTGCACTTCGGAAGTATAGTCGCAATAGGTCTCAACAGTTGAAGCATCGCTTTGTGCTTGCTAGTAACAAGTATGCTCGTTACAATCGCATTCTGTACATTGATCGAACGCAAAGGAACACAGCAAAAAAATAATTTTGATATCACATCAAAGTGGATGCACTACAATCATGTCGAAAATTTCATGTAATTTTTATGACCACATAAATAAACAAATGCAGTAAAAGCAGCGTAATGTCAGTTCATGCATTGTATTAATGATAATTTTGTCCTTTTTAGCAAGTAATATTACACCATATTTTCGACATGATTGTAGTGCATCCACTTTGACGTGATATCAAAATTATTTTTTTGCTGTGAACTTGCGTGTGCATACGAAAAATTTCTAGTCGTTCAAAAAATACCCCAACAAATACCGCAAAAATGGAACGACGCATCGGGTTTTTTTTTGTAAATAATGGGTGCAAACCTTCATATCACGCGTTCTCATTGACTTCGTTTGGCAGCTTATTAACAATAGTATCGTACCAAACGCATAATTGACTTGTTAACGCCAAAATATTGGATTTATTTGAAGTTTACTGCACGATAGGCCTAAAATGGGCTATTAGGCCGAAGTAGTTCTCTACCCTAGCTCTTCTAGATATAGAAAAAGCATTCGACAGTGTTTGGAATGAAGGTTTGATTGCTACACTCAAAAAATTTCACACGTTTGATCGAAGTGTTTAAACACTTGATTTTCTAAATGCACAATCACATTTACTTTAAGTGTATTTCACCTTGGTTCAATGTGTTATACACGTTAATTTATAGTGTTTCAAACTTTGAAATGTTGAAAATCTTTCACTATCTATTTAAGTGTATTGCACATTGAATCACGCTACTGTTCAAAACAGATGGATTTAAAGTGTTTTGCATTTCAATACGATGTGAATTGCTTGCTCAGAAAGGTAAACATCGATAACAAGAGTTGTGACTTTATCCTATCATCCTGCCTCATATATGAGAACAACCGTGAGATCGAACGAAGACTTCGGCAGCAGCATACCCCAACAGTCCATGATCGAATCCCAAATCAGACCCATTAAAAATATATGTGAAAGCTCTGGCCTCTGGCAGTTTTGTTTTTTATATTTGTCGATTCATTTTTAGAGTCGGTAAAGTAGAATTCGATAAAGTAGAATATTGTAGAATATTGAACTATGGTGTGCAAAGCTATTGATATCACCATATGAGACACATAGAATCCAAGTGTGTCACAATTCAAATCCATAGTGTTCAGGCATGGTTCATAGCATAAGATTCACACATGAAATGGATGTATTTCACAATATGCGCAAAATTAAGTGTGAGACACATGATGATGACGTGTGGAATTTTTTGAGTGTAAATTGCCGGAAGCCTCGCAACCTGCGAGATTTCGACCACTGAATACGCTTCCTGTCTCAAAACGAGTAACTTAAGCGCTACCTCCGATGGGGACCACTCGTCACGGTTTGATTTGCCCGGCAAGAAACCCAACCTCAGGGCGGGTTTATGTGTAGAAGAAACCGAAAATTAGTTTGAGGGCGATTCAGCAGACTGAAATCCCACGAGGGATTGAGATCCTCACAGAGAGAGGCTGCTTCAAACAGTCTTAAGGGATAGTTTGTGCTAGCCGCCGTTTTACCGAAACACAAAAAACTCCACTCACATTTATCATCACTGGAGGAACTTCCCCATTCAGATTACCTCCATCGATCGTGACACGTGAGTGCGGAGACTGTTTTCCCAGGCAGTCCAACCTGGCGTAAATTCTGCTAACAAAAATACCCCAACAAATAACGCAAAAATGGAACGACGCCAAATGTGAAAAACCTAGTGAACCAAAAATAACATTACATGGAAAGCTTAAATTTTACAAAAAAACAACATACATTTCAGGGGCAAATAACGGAAATCATTGTAAAATTTATTAGAGTTCCTAACCTAGGTTTGTTCATAGCTTGTTCCTTTCCATAGGTTTGTTTGTTTGCTAGCTCTCCCTAATCGTGCGTGCGGTTTTTTGATCTGGTTCTAGCGATTGCTAGCCTATCCTTTTACTTGCCTTCGAGCTCATGTGTTTGTGTGTGTGGAGATTTTCATGCATTTTGTTTACTCACGGTACCAATTATTGTCGTCGCTGCTTCATCCGTACCGGCACAGAAGCATCCCTTTGTCGGAGTGAGGTCGGCAAAGAAGCACTCTATTGATCGGTGTGGGTGTTGCGCATTGCACCCCGGACTGATATGGTGCGGAAATTCCCAATCGAATCCTCGAATTGGAACTGATACTAGCGCCGATTGCCGGTGGCGCAGATGTCGACGAGGGGATCGTCGGTTATGCACGGAAGCACGTTAGTTCACGTGGTGGATGCTGGCGGATTTGGCCAACGCTCTGTCGGAGAATAGATTAACGGTGTCTCCCATCCAGATTCTTCCCAAACTGGGAACCTTGACGTTGAAGCGTGGGGTCTAGAGAGCGCGAAATTTTATCATGGGTGCGGTGTGCCGAGCAAAGCCATGAGATTTGGGCTGTTCGACACATTTAAGTCAAATCTCCACACAAAAGACATTATTCTCCTTAACCTTTCTATACACCTTACACACACAAAAGTTGACCGC